GTTTTTTTGTGTTTTATTTTAATAGAAGGGTAAAATGATCCAAAAATGGGGAAAAAGACGTTTTGCGCCAAAAATGTGAAAGGTAGGGACGTTCTGCGCCAAGAAACGAAACGTAGGGACGTTTTGCACAAAATCCATTAAAGGTAGGGACGTTTTGCGCAAAAGATGTTGGATGCATGTCCTCAGTAATCAGAAATTTGACAACCATATATAAGCTATTAAAACAGGAAATAAGCCTAAAAGTAACTACATTTTTCCAGCAATATTAACTATCTCAATGCACAATTAAAACATATACATTATATAGACAGATAAATATAAACCAATCCACCTCAACAAAGGAACATTTTCACTTATGACCATTATAGCGAAGGAAGAGTTGTAAATAGTATCACCTAGTTCGAAACTGAGATCAAGGCAATATAACAAAAACGAAAGACGTTCATACATGCCATAAAATTAACATCAAAGATCAGTGATATGTGCTTTATGGACATACCTCAGCAGAGGGCTCATTAGGGGGTCGTAATGCTGATTCGGCTTCATTCAAAAGATTCATCTGAAGGTGATAGCGCAAACAAGTAGAGGCATTGAGCCATATGTGCTCCTTCAAACAATTAAAGACAGATTAATAAAGAAAAAAAAAAGTGAATGTCACTTCAAGAAAACAGAGAAAAAACATAAAATTGAATCCCTGAAAAGATGTTCAGGCAACAGAAGAGAGCTTCTTTTGGATGAAACCAATTGGTTTGATCTAGTTAGAAAAAGAAAAGATCATGGTTCAACATACCCTTCAAAATGTAGTATGCACAATATAACTAATTGTTTTGCAACAACTGGCAACCTGTTGCAAATTTGTTTGCATTAAACTCGGTAAACCATCAAGGAGACAAAGCTATAATAGTCAAATTTAGTTAATGCCATCAAACTTTATAATAAATTACTAAACAACAAAACGTAAGCACAAACTTGTAAACAAATGGACTAAACATCATACCATCTCATCTAAATATGGAGCATTAACATTTACATTGTAGACAACATCAAGAGGATATCATCCATCTTTCTCTCGTCACAAAATGTTATATTCAAGGTTATTTTCTTTAATAAATACCAACCTAAATGCACGCATACTATACAGACTCGTCATATATTTTGACATTTAGTACTACACTATAGTTTCAAAGCCTCATGGCATTGAACTTATTTAATCAAACTCAGATAAGCAAGATGCAATAATTTATTCCATCATATTTATTCAATGGACCACAAAAAGTAAAATTTAAACCGCAATGCCTCAAATATAATATAAAACTATAAACAACAAAAAGTTTAAACTGTTTCAAAATTTAAAACTAAACTACACTGATAACATCTCGAGAATGAGGGACTAAACATTATTCTTAATAAATTTGAAGTCGGCTAATTATGTACAGAACCATAGTGCAACCTATCCCACTTCATTGTGTCACTGTAATTGAAAAAAAGATTAAGCACTCAACCACTAACAAAACTTCACCATTTTGCCATCTTAATGGAATCATATACAGAATAAGAGCTTATATTTTTACCTATCAAAAAAAAAAAAAAAGATATATATATATATACGAGCCTACAAAATGAAGTTTCAGTTAGATAATTTAACAAAACAATCCATCTAGTGATAGTCATTTATATAATATCTGATACTCAATTGTATTATCGCCCGAGTTACGTGAACATATTCCATTTTGATAGTTAGATTCTTTATTTACCCACTTCTATATCAAAGTTTTACAATTTCTGGCCATCTGTCTTATGTTACAGGGTGGAACTGTTTCGGCTATGGCAATTAACAAGGGTATTCTTCTTGGTTTTGTTCCTTCTCATGATTCTCAGGTACCTTTCTATTCAGCAAGCCTATGAACGCAAGAACAACGCTATGTAGAACTCATGATTGGATGCAAAACTAGACATGTCACACAATTTTTTTGCATCCTTTTTAGCTATTTTGCATCCTTCTTAGCATGGAAAATCAAATGGAAGCTAGCAAAAATCTGCACTATGCAATTCTCTATATAATGGATATAAAGTTCAGCACTACATTCAGTAGCGTCATTATATTCCATTCAACATATGCTCGAAGCAACTGGATGAACAGTAAAAATGACATTGCCTCTTTTTATTAATTACAATGAAGGAATTGTGTCTGTGCAGGTTATAGTATCGTGGAAGTGGTGTAACATGGGTCGTGGATTTTCCATGGATTTTTGAGGTCGCTTTCAATGAAAAACCCAAGAATTTGGAGACCTGTTGTAAAACAAACAAGATATCATAATAGCTCTGATATCAATTGTTGTGAAACAAACCACCGGATTGAGATGTTGAAGTTATATGACAAATAATAATGAAATATATGATCAAGCAAAAGAATAATAAATACAAGAATATGGCAAATGAATTAAGAGATTTTATTGACTCAAGAATAATTGAGAAAATAGAAAAATTACAATAGATCCTATAATTCTAGTAATCTATTTTCTCACACCATAAAATTGTATAGAAGAGCCTAGTATTTATAGGGAACATGTTGTGGATGTCCAAACCCTCCTAATAGAGTTGTCCAAAAAATCGAGTCCAAAACAAATTCAACTCCTAATAGGCTTCCAAAATAAAACTTCAACTTGACATATGACTCCAATAGCATTTTAAAATGGATTATTCTTAATGTACACTTCAGTTAGAATTTTTCAATTATTTCAACAACCCAAATTCTAATAATCTCCACCTTGATACAAATTCTTAGGGAATGAACTGGCTTCTTCAACAATAACAAAAAAAATTAATTTTTTCAACAAAACACAATACTCCACATCTTCCAATGAATTCAAACACTACTCTGTAGAATTACCTCATATTTCCAAAAAATTATAATGATTTTAAATTAATCAAAATGGGCTGTAACACACCCCAAAGCAGAATCAAACTCAAATGCTTTTAAAGAAAGCCTCTTGCTAGATTGTGCACATTCTACTCCACTTAAAGCATGCTCAACAAAATCAGCATTCACATACCCTTTTCCATTGAATCTGTCTCTAGCAATTGAATACAATGACATAACAGGTGATGGTGGCAAAGCAGCATTATCCATATCTTCTCAACTCCACTGAACTGTATTCTTCAAATCTGACCATTTAAGAGCTCCTAAAGGTATTGTATCAAACTGAACATCCATAACGGTACTAAACTTGTGCTGATTGACTCTTCTAAATTATGCACGACCCTGCAAGATGTATAAATGTGACCTTTTCTGTCCCTCGGACACCCTTACAAACCTTTAAAGCTCCATCTCCACCAAATAACTCATAACCTTTTGAATCAAGGATAGATAACGAGTTGTTATTTTTCTTCAAATCTGGAACATGTCGAACCTGGCCAAATGTTCTAATTGTCCCATCCAAAAGCTTCAATCTGACTATACCCAGTCCAGCAACCCGACAAGATGCGTTGTTTTCTATAACCACGACACCTTTGGAAACAGTTTAATATGTAGCAAACAAGTCCTTATTAGGACACATATGAAACACACATGTTGAATAAAAAATCCAATCATCTTCTGGTTTAGACTCAATGTCAGAAATAGCTAAGAGATCTCCATCACTTACAACGTTCTCTGTGAGGTCTGCTTCGCCTGAAGTATCTGAATATCTACTTGCAGCCATCCTTTCTTTATTCTGCAATTTGTAGCAATCCTTTTTTAAGTGCCCCTTCTTCTTACAGTAGTTATAAATTTGATTACTAAACTTAGATTTCGATATGTCCCTTCCAGAACCACCATGAGCAATCAGGCCTTCTCCATCTCTGGCCTCAGAAATCAGATACTTCATCTTCTCTTTTAAATACAAAGCATCATACACTTCATCTATGGTGAGAGTATCACGACTATATAAGATCGTGTCTCTTAATGAAGAAAACGAAGCGGGCAACAAACACAATAGGATCAATGCCAAATATTCTTCATCATACTCTACTTCCAAATTTTCCAAATCATCGACGATCTCCTTAAATACAGCCAAGTAATCTTTCAATGATTCTCCTTCTGCCATTCGATGAGAGTATAAACACTGCTTGAGGTTCAACTTGCTTGTCAGATTTTTAATTATGCACAATTGTTCCAACCTTAATCATAAAGCAGCTGCTGAATTCTCCTTCAAAAAGTCCCGAAGAATAGTATTTGATAGATGAAGATGAATTTGAGAAACTGCCTTCTTATCCTTCCGTAATTTCTCCTCCGCGGTCAAAGTTGCGGACATCTTGTCAATTCCGAGCAACGCATCATCCAAATGCAGCTGTGCTTGCACGCATCTTAACCTGGCATAGCGAAAATCTAGTGCTCTGATCCAAAAGCGGAATGTCATACTTCATGGAAGCTATCACGAATAAAAAACCTCAAACAAATCAAATATTGCGCTCTTGCGAAACTGCTGAATTTGGGGCTCTAATACCAATTGTTGCAAAACAAACAAGATACCATAATAGCTCTAGTACCAATTGTTGTGAAACAAACCACCGGATTTAGATGTTGAAGTTATATGGCAAATAATAATGAAGTATATGATCAAGCAAAAAAATAATAAAGACAAGAATATGGCAGAGAAATTAAGAGATTTCATTGAATCAAGTATAATAGAGAAGAGAGAAAAATTGCAATAGATACTATAATTCTAGTAATCTATTTTCTCACACCATAAAATTGTATAGAAGAACCTAATATTTATAGGGAACATGTTATGGATGTCCAAAACCTCCTAGTAGATTTCTTGATGGAGCAGGATACCAAAAATCGAATCCAAAACAAATTACAACTCCCAATGGACTTTCAAAATAAAACTTCAATTTGACATAAGATTCCAATAATATTTTAAACTGAATTCTTCTTGATGTGCACTTCAATTAGAATTCTTCAATTATTTCAACAAGGAATTCGAGTCACATCCAAATTCTAGCCATGAAAAAAACCAATGAAAGAAACCAAGAATTTGGAGAACAATAAGGAAACTTATGATGGAAGAGAGGCTGCGGAAGCTATGGCTAGGAATACGATGACGAATGAGTTGATATTGAGGATGCAAGGCACTGTTAATGTCGACAGATCCCAGAATTTTGCTTCAGTTTTCTCAAAACGAGGGGAGAAAGGCGTGAATCAAGATTGCGGCATCGTTTGGGAGGTATATGTTGAGTCAAATTGTCTAAAAGCTTAAGACATGAGAAAGGGTATAAATGTGCTTTAGTACACCCATTTCATCTAAGGCTAGATGGTCACACAATTTTCATAAATGGGTAGCTATGGGACTTGAACTCACTGTTCGTGCTTGCTTAGATACTATTTTGAACCAACTCATAATGGATGAACTCGTTTATCTTAGAACAACTTATTCTATTTGGGGGTACTTAGTCTAGCTTAACCCAATCACAGCGTACCTTTTAGTCACCAAGGACATTCTGAGGCTGAATCATTTGGATTACCAGGCATCCATATATTGATTTGTTGAAAATATTCCATGATTTAATTCTACATTTCCATTATTCAGCTGTCAACAATTTGGCTTTCATTTTGATATTTTTGGTGATAGATGAGCTTTGTGATTTCCGGTATCAGGAATTCGGATGCCAAGAGGACATGATGTTTTGTGGGATATTTGATGGTCATGGTCCTTGGGGACATTTTGTGGCTAAGAGGGTTAGTGAGTCGATGCCCTCATCTCTTCTTCGTAACTGGCAGGAGACACTCATCGAAGCTTCACTAGATCCCAATTTTGATTTGGAGCCAGATAGAAATGTTCATAAATTCAACATATGGAAAATCCTACTTGGAAGACATATGCTGACATAGATCGTGATCTGGAGCAACACTGTAAGATTGATTCATTCAACAGTGGCACCACTGCTTCAACAATTGTTAGGCAGGTAAAGAAGTTTCACTTATTGCATGCAATGCTGCCTTGCGTATTGGACATTTGGGAAAATGCACTATAGTTATGATGAAACGTGCTTTATTTGGACAAAGGACATATTAATCCTTGAAGACATGTTTTGTGCGCATTTAGTTCTAGTGCAGATAGTTTGGGCTTCTTCTGAGCCCCACAGATGTAATCATGTTTGATTGGACTGCATGACCAAAATTTGTGTCCTCTTTTATTTTTCTGCAGAGCGTGTTGTTTTGTTTTGTTATTCCGCTTGTGCTTTTGTTGTGTTATTCTGCTACATTTGGTACACCTACCTTTGGAATGAGGATCCAAATCTATGAAACTTAAATAGCAAGTACCAATGAACCAATTCCAAAAGTTATGTGTGCTCAGTTAACATTTTGGCTTTAAAGGCATCTTTGGACTTCCACTAAATGCTTGTAATGTAGAAACCTCACAAATCTTATCAGGAGTATTTGAAATCTTTTTCCTCAACTTGTTTTCTTTAATGAATCTTGACATATATTAGATAGGGATATTTTCTAGTCCTATATACCACGCGATTCTATCAAGTTCAACAATTGTTAGGCAGGTAAAGAAGTTTCACACTTTATATTTATTGCAAATGTTGGTGATTCGAGTGCTGCATTGGCCACCATGTCTGAAACTGGCGACTTGGAACCAGTACAACTTACTATAGACTTCAAGCCCAATCTGCCTCGTTAGTCCACCTCTCCCTCTGTGCAGGCCTCTCTCTCTATTCCTAACTAAATATCTATTCGTCATATAACTATGTTAACAATGTTTCTAGAGGAGGCTGAGCGCATAATTCAGTCCAAAGGCTGAGTTTTTTGTCTGCATGATGAGCCAGGGGTTCACAGAGTGTGGCTGCCCGATAAGGAGTCTCCTGGACTAGCAATGTCTAGAGCTTTTGGGGACTATTGTGTTGAGGATTTTGGTCTTGTTTCAGTACCTGAAGTAACTCGGAGACATATAATGAGTGAAGATCAGTTTGTCATGCTCGCAACAGATTGGGTTAGTATGATCTTAATTCATTAATCTTGACCTCTTGGACAAATGTATAACCGTAGGCAACAATATTGCATTTCTTTTAAGGATAACTTGGCTGGCTTAAAATCACTACGTGTCCAATTAGGCATATATATTAACGAACACTAATTACAAAAGATTCATACTGATATTGAATAAATCTGTTTGATGGAACGAAGGTATGGGACGTTATATCGAACGAAAAGGCAGTGGAAATTGTGTCATCAACTGTAGACAGAGTAAACTCAGCTAATTGTCTTGTGAAGTGGGCTGTCCATTCATGGAAGAAAAAGAGAAAGGAAATAGCAATGGATGATATATCAGCTATTGTACTCTTCTTTATGTGATCAAGTTTTCCCTGATGTATCTTCACCAACAAAGTAACTAGTTCTATCAAAGAATAGTTGAAAAAATAATTGCATTTACGTTATCTCTCTATCTATATATGTATTACTCGCAGCAAAATCGCTGCAATTAGTCTTTTTCCTTTTCATTCTAGTGCATTAATGGAACTTTCAAGGGAAAACACTGATTTTCCCGTTAAAAATTTGAGATATAACGAAAAGTAAGCACGCACACGTACCAACCTATGAAGCTAGGCCTCAAGTACGTATCAAAGTGAAGGATCTAATATTTTTAAAAAAATATAAGATACGGGAACTAGATATAACGAAAAGTAAGAACGCATATGTACCAACCTATGATGCTTGGACTCAAGTACATATCTAAGTGTTTGATCTTTTATTTTTTAAAATGTAAGATACGGGAACATGATTAGAAGGAGTCCAAATTTCGAATACGAGTACGTGGGTACATCTTTCACACTTCAATTTTGAATTTCTCATAAATTCACATGTAACAAGTTAAATAATAATTAAGTGGAAAATTGTTAAAAGATAGAACATGTCATTTAAAACCAATTAGAAATTTATACTAAAAGTTTAAAACACCAAAAATAGCATAAATTTCTTGACAAAAGCACATAACTAAAATAAAAATTAGAAATGACATAATTAATTAAAATTACCATACCCGCTTGAAAAAGGAAGAATCTGCTCCATATTTTAAATTTGTGTAGTGTCGTGTCGTGTCGTATCGACACAAGTATGTCGGGCAGAATTCCTAGTCCGAGCATCACAGGTACCAACTAGTTGAACAACATAATTCTAGTGGTTCATGATCACAAATGTGATCCTACCTTCACTTTGTAGATGAAACAACTTATTACAAACATTCATTGCTACATTTCCTTATGCTGGCTTCTAATTTATCGTCGGAAATTCTTGTAAGCAATTATACAATCTTAATACCAAGAACTTTAAGATTCATGATTTTCACATATAGATTAATTGATCAAGAAATATACCTTGATCCATAGTAATAGTCGAAAGATTTAAACCTGCAAAATAGGAACTAATAAAATTTAGAAATTGTTCTCTCTTTCCCTTACTGTTATTGAATTATATAATTGATTGACTTCATTCACATTTATAGACAGAGAAAGTCAATCCAAGAGTCATTCAGTCCAAGGGTCATAAAAAAACTATTCAATTTTCATCAAAGTGGATAGCTATAAAAACTGCAACTTCTCAATGGACCAACAGAATTTTAACAATAATAAATCACTTTAATTAATTTATTAATAATATTATTTAGACCACATAAATTGGTTTTACATTCTCCCACTTGGTCCATGTAATATTACATTGTTATGTGGTTTATAACANCATTAAATGTATTTGGTGACAATCATTTCGTTAGTGGATCTACAATCATAAGATTGGTGCTAATATGCTCGATTGACACCTTTTGTTTTTGAACTTCTTCTTTAACGGCGAAGTATTTCAATTCCATGTGTTTAGCACCTTTAGAGTACTTGTCGTGCTTTGAAAGAAGACTGCTGTAGAATTGTCACAATAAAGTTTTAGCGGCTTAGCAATACTGTTGACAATTCCAAGCCCTGAAATAAAGTTCCGCGGCCAATTTCCTTGAACTATGGCCTCAAAGCATGCCACAAACTCAGCTTCCATAGTGGATGCAGCAATGACTGCTGCTTCGCACTTTTCCATGATATAGCACGTCCAGCTAAGAGGAACAAATAGCCAAATGTGGACTTTCTAGTATCCATACATCCAGTAAAGTCTGAATCCGAATATCCAATTACTTCCAAGTTATCAGATCTCCTATAAGTGAGCATGTGGTCTTTCGTTCCTTACAAGTATCTCAACACTTTCTTTGCAACTTTCCAATGATTAAGTCCTGGGTTACTTTGATACCTGCCCAGCATCCGATAGCAAAACTGATGTCTGGTCTGGTGCAAGTCTGAGCATACATTAAGCTTCTCACAAGAGATGCATAAGGAATAGCTGTCATTTGTTTACGTTCCAATTCGTTCTTAAGATATTGCATGAGACTAAATTTGTCTCCTTTTTGAATTGGAACGACACTCGCTGAACAATTTTCCATCTTAAATATATCTAAAACTTTATTGATATATGCTTTCAGAGACAACCAAAACAATTCTTGTGACCTATCTAGGAATATTTCAATTCCAATCACATAGGTTGTTTCTCCCATATTTTTCATTTCAAAATTTTTAGAGAGAAATTTCTTAGTCTCATATATTAGACTGAGATCATTAGTAGCTAGTAAGATGTCATTAACATACCGAATCAAAAATATAAACTTGCTCCACCAATCTTTAGATATATACATCGATCA